AGTCTCATTTGAAATGTGATGGTGGCACCTGTTGTCCATCTGTATGCTTGTTTTGATCATAATGTGAATGATTCAGATAATTATCAAGGATATGCCTTTTTATGTTTAGAGCTTTGCTTATTTGGAGAAGTGCTTAAAATGAATTGTTTTCAATTTTCCAGTAGTATTTCCATGCATTGTCTGGTTTTTCTGATGACTTTGAAGTAAATCAGACTTACCCATGTAGAGATAGTTAGAATTGAGTTTCTGGAACAAGCTTTCAAAGAGTTAATGCTTCTGTGTAACTGAATCCAATTCTGTGTTTATTTTGTTCTTTGTTTTATTTTTCTAGTTCTGGGTACATGGTGATCCAAATAGTTATATTTAGAACCAGCTGGATTTTTATCCTTTCTTAAACTTCAATATTAGCAGAAAATTTTTTTTTTTTTTAGCACATTAGTAGAAATTGTAAAGTCTAAGACACTGAATTCTTTTTGGTTCTAATTTTTAAATTTTTGACACATTTATGTCTGATTTTTTTTTAAAGATTTATCTTTATTATTTTTTTGTTGGAAAGGCGGATATACAGAGAGGAGAGACAGAGAGGAAGATCTTCGGTCCGATGATTTACTCCCCAAGTGAGCGCTACTGCCGATACTATGCCGATCTGAAGCCAGGAGCCTCTTCTGGGTCTCCCACGCGGGTGCAGGGTCCCAAAGCTTTGGGCCGTCCTCGACTGCTTTCCCAGGCCACAAGCAGGGAGCTGGAAGGGAAGCGGGGCTGCCGGGATAGAACCGGCGCCCATATGGGATCCCGGGCGTGCAAGGCGAGGACTTTAACCACTTGCGCCACCGCGCCGGGCCCTGATTTTTTTTATTATTATTATAAGAATGTATTCATTTATTTGGAAGGCAGAGTTACAGAGAGAGAAGGACACCTAGAGACAGAACTTGGATCTGCTGATTTATACCCCAGTGGCCACAGTTGGCTGGACCTGAGCTCTTCTGAAGCTAGAAACCAGGAGCTTCCTCAGAGTCTCCCCTGTGGGTTCAAAGACCAAAGCACCCAGACCATCCTTCTCTGCCTTCGTAGGCACATTAGCAGCAAGCTGTGCTAGCAATGGAGCAGATCACTTCTCGGCCTTTTGGCTAAGATCAAGTGTAGAGATGGAGCAGAGCCCAATGTGATGGTTCAATTAGCTAGTCCTCCACTTGCAAGCATCAGGATTGCATATGAGCATGAGTTGATGTCCTGGGATGCAGCACTTCCAGCTCCCTTTTTGTGGGCTGCGAAAGCAAGGGAGGATGGCTCATAACCCAGGGACCCTGTGTGCACATGGGGGACCATGACGATGCTCATGGCTCCGTTGTTGAGATGGCTGAGCTCTGCTGGTTGCTGCCATGTGTACAGTGAATTAGTGGATGGAGGATTTTTCTGTCTCTTCTTCTTTCTGCCTTTCCAATAAAAAGAATTTATGTTAAACATCTTAGGTTAAAAATACTTTAAAAAAATGTGGAGCAGCCAGAATTGGGACCAGCACCCACATAGATGGTAGTGCTGCAGCTGGCAGCTTCAGTGGCTGCCACAGACACCTCAGGCACTGAAATCCTCAACAATCATCAGGTTTTGTTTGTTTTTAAATTTATTTATTTTGATTTTGACAGATTGTACAAAGAAAGAAGGATAGATAAATCTTCCATCTGCTGGTTCACTCCCCAAATAACCACAACCACAAGAACTGAGCAGATCTGAAGCCAGGAACAACTTGGCCTGTGACGTGGGTGTAGGGCCCAAGTACTGAGCCATCCTCCAGTGCTTTCAGGCTGTAGGCAGGGAACTGTGTCGGAAGTGGAGCAGTTCAAGTTTACCTTGTGGGTTCCTGGGGAGGAGATGCGACTGAAAAGAAATGGAGGGGCAGTGCTTTTTTGGGCAACTGACAAAGTTTATTTCCAGGGTTCCAGTTTATATACATTCAGCAAAGCAACACTTCAAACATAGTTCAGCTCAGACATCGGTTACAATGATCAGGTTTGATATACAACTCGTGTCACACATGTATAAAGCAGGGACTTCCAGGGCAACTAATAAGGCACCAGGATCAAAGCACCATTGGTGTGGGATATTGATAAGGAGCACTACTTTGATCTAGGATAATTGGCTAACTAGAGCACAGATGTTCGCCATATATCAGGGAAGCATGAAAGCACATCCAAGGACTCACTGGGGGCAAGAGTGCGCTCTGGGTGAGAGGCCCTCTGCCTCCTCTTTCCTGGAGCCTCTCAACAGGATCCCACAGGCCTCTGTCCCTGTTGGATGTATTCCAGCAGAGCAGTCAGGATTGGGACTGGCACGTTTATGGGCTACTTATGTTGCAGGTGATGGATTAGCTTGCTGAATCAATGTGCCAGCCTCTCCAGTCATTTGAATTCTTCAGGAAGGAAGAAGTGATTTTTCTTGTGAAATAGATTTGTATCATGTGTATCTTGACTCAGTATTAGGACACCTAATGTAATTCATCCTGTTAACACAACAGGGAAAAATATGGTGCCACTCTCTTGGTAAAGAGCCAAGACACATCTGAAATGCAGTATCCAGTGAATGTAGTGAGACACTGCCACTCTGTAATTTAGAAAGAAGAGTCTGGAATTACAGGGTTTTTAAGAAAGTCTGGCAGTATGAGTTTGGGCAATTTGTACGATGTTGCTAGTCATCTAGTTGGTGGTGAGATCTAAATGAGATCATTCATGTCATACATGGTGCTCACCACTTGCATACTGGTTGATGTTAACATTTTTTTCTCATTTAAAGAAACTGAGTAGACAGACTTTGTATATTTGAAACCAACTTTATGGACCTCAATAGTGAAATAGTAGAAGCCTTTTCCTTGTCTAAGCATTAAAAGGAGATCCCATCTGTTAACACAATATGGTCAGGCCAAACAAGTTTAAGTATTTGAAGGGAGAAAACAAATAGTAATTTGCAGGTTAAGATTATCCACCTAGACAGCTGAAAAGAATCAGTTGAAAAGTCATTTGGAGCTAAACGAAAAATTGAAGTTTCTTAGAAGACATAGGAATTCACATCACCATGATATAGCTAAAGTAGTGAGTTATGTGTATAGACTTGTATGCAAAGTGTTATTTTCCTAGGAATAGAATAAAAAGTACGCAGGAATAGTTTTAAACAAGTAATGCACTAACCTATGATAAAAATCAAGCACCTCTCATAGAAAACTCAAAATATAAAGCCTCTTCTATTTATTTAGAAATTTAATGCAAGTTTAGTGAAAATTCCAGTGATGCTTCGGAGTGGAAGTACAGAAAATTATTTTGAATCTAGTTTTAGCTGTAAGGATAAATGGGTAACTAAAAGTAATGAAATGTTTTTTCTTTTTTAGTTTTTTTTTTCTCACATTAAAATGCTACATGTCTGCATATAGATGAGTTTTACTTTATGCTGACCTGATTTTTTTAAAAAAAATGACTTGAGTATGTTAGTTCCATTTAAGGAAAAAACTGCATATATTTAAAATTCTCAGCCGATCTGTATTTTGACATGCTCTTTAAGTGTTTCAAGTTATTTTATACTATGATTGGAAATAACTTGCATATTATAGAGTCTGCACTGATATTGCAGTTTTATAAGCTTCTGTAGGATTTTTGGATTAGTTTGATTTGCATCTTCAAACATTTTTCAGTCTTAAACTAATTCCTCTCAGTGTTGAGGAGGTGTCGACAGGCTAATTATAAGATTGAAACAAACCCTCCGAGCATATACCTGTTGTAATCCAGGTGAGAGCTGAAATCACTGAATCACCTGATAAGCCGATATTTGCCTGTTGTGATTCTGTTGCATGTGAAAATACTGGATTTTCCTTAAGAAAAAAGAGACTCTTTTTTTTGTCCTAAGAGAACAGTAGTGTCATTTACTTAGAGTTGGATTTCTCGGAGTTCTTAACCCCTCTGTGGTAGACCCTTTGACCTTGATGTTAGTTTTACGCTTAATCTGCCCCTAGATAGTGAGGGCTTGGTCCTTTCACACTTACTATTTTAATCAGGGTTCTTCCCTTATTTTGATAACTTTAACTTTCTTAGGAAAATCAGTGGCGTACGTGCCCTATGCTGAGGTCACACGTGCTCTAGGACAGGAAGCGCAGATGCACAGCCCCGCAGCAAGGTCAGCCTCACCGTGTAGGCTCTCTCCGAGAGAAGTCAGTAAAGCCGCTCCACAGCCTGGTATGAGTGCGGCCCGCTCTAGTGTCCGGCCAGGGAAATACCCACCTCGGTGCGGTGGCTGCTGGCCATCTACCCAGAGACGGTCCACGTGGGTGGATTACTCTCATGACTGAGCTGCTTGTCCCGGACATGTCCTTGCTGTTTCAGAACCACTTCCTTGTTTCTCTGCATTCCATCATCAGTTGTATTCCGTTCAGATTCACCGGGCCACGTGGAAGTGTATGTTCACAACTTTATCCTGTGTCATTGGCTAGCTTTGCTTTTGGGAAAAAAAAAAAAGGTGTATTTTGTAAAACTTGAGCTCCACCATCCCTCTTCAGCCTACCAAAATTCAGCTGTTCTGAGACAGACAATAAGTGCTTCCAAATTATGCGGTGCACACAGGGCATCTAACTGGATGTCAGTTACGTCTGCACGGAAGATGACGCAATGACAGCAGCTGTCCTTGAGCCCGTTCGTTCTCACCTAATCTGTGAGGCCAGAGAGTGGCGGAGAGACAAAAATTATTACAGAGTGACATTTGTCTAGACTGAGCGGAGAATTTGAGCATCAGCGTGAACACTCTGTTTTGGAGGGAGTAAACACAGCCTCACGTGTTCCATTTGTGATGTGATTAAGTGTCCAGGCTTAAGAGAAGGAAGTTGAAATAGAAATGTTCATCCCTGACTTCATTTCACGTTTATAATTTATTTTGTAATTTACAACCTTGGAAATTGACTGAGATAAGTATTATCAGGTTACAAAGAAGGAAACGGACTGTTTTAAATCACCTTTTCCTCTTTAAAGTCCTCCAGCCTGCTCCACATCAAGTGATAACTAATCTTCCTGAAGGGGTTCGCCTTCCAACCACCCGACCAACCAGGCCGCCACCACCTCTCATCCCATCCTCCAAAACCACCGTGGCTTCTGAAAAGCCGTCGTTTATCATGGGAGGCTCCATCTCACAGGTAAAATGGCTACACTTTACAATAGACTTCCTTTGAATGTATCTAACTATGACCCTTCCCGAGGAGTTGATTGGAAAGTGCAGCTACTGCTGTGTCCGTTGTCTGGTTTGGTTGGCCATGGCATGCTGTCTTAACTTACCACAGACGTGTGTTTACCATGATGTTTAGTGGAACACAAGTTAGAGTGGAGTGCTTTCAAGTAGTGGTTTTCAGTTGAGGTATGGTTCGATTTTAGACAATTTTGTGTACAATGTAACCACACCCGAGTGAAGCTACTGGACATTGCACTTTACCAGGTTCCTCATGTGCTTCTATGTGCACATGACAACACTTTCTGTTGGCCTAAGTTCATTTTGTTTTTTTTCTAGACTTCGTGTGAAATGAATCATGGAATATGCATTCTTGGGTGTCTGTCTGCTTTTAACTTTGCAGAATGATTTTAGGGCCAGTCAGATCTGTGTGTAATAAGTACTACCTTCCCTTCTTTTGAATAAATAAAACCTGAGCTGTGTCTAGGATTTGGCTGCTAAAAATGAGCCGCTATGAACAGTCTCACAGTAGGTTCTTTGTGGACATAGGTTTCCTGTTCTCTAGCGTAGTTATCTGGTGATAGAAGATTACATGTGTGTTTTTAGTTCTTTTCTATTGGTTTTGCAATTGTTCTGCTTTCTTCTGTCTTTCATTTTGACTATACTGATGTTGAGTACTTGATATACTTGTTGATTGTACAAATAACTCTGAAACTTGAGCATCTGAAATGTTTGAGATGTAAACCTTTTTGAGTATAATAACACAAGTAGAAAGTTCCATGCTTAATCCTGTATGACATATTGCAGTCAAAACACAAGTGTAGGGGCTGTCATTGTGTCATAGTGAGTTAAGTAGTTGCCTGCAGTAGTGGCTTCCAGTTTGGGTGCTGGTTCAAGTCCTTACTGGTTCACTTTCAGTCTAGTTCCATGATGGATGTTCCTGAGAAAACAGCAGATAATGGCCTAAGTACTTGAGCACTTACACCTGCATGGGAGTTTGGGATGTTGGCTCTGCAGGGGCAGCTTAACCCACTTGCCAGAATGCAGAATGATGGTCCCCAAAAATGAATTCTTATTTTTACACGACAGATGTTAACTTCTGTGACAAACATGTGAATATTGACTTTGTAATTGAGTTATTAAAAAAAAACAGAGTTTAGTCTTGTAAATTATGCTTTTAGGGAACACCCGGCACCTATCTGACTTCCCACAGTCAGGCCTCCTACGCTCCAGAAACAGCTAAGCCCTCCGTGGGATCCATCTCTCTTGGACTGCCACGGCAGCAGGAACCCTCCAAATCAGGTTAGGTGTTATTCACGACGGGTGGGTGCTTGTAACATTACAGCGAGGGATTCAAGACTTGCTGGATTGATGCTTCTCTGCTTTTGTCCACAGCTGCTTTGCCCTACATCAAGCAAGAAGAATTTTCTCCTCGAAGCCAAAATTCCCAACCCGAGGGTTTACTGGTCAGGGCCCAACATGAAGGTGTGGTCAGAGGTAAAGTAAGCAGAAACATTAAACTTTGAGCCCCAGTAAAAACTTATTAAAGTAAGTCATTAACATGTTTTTATATGGGATTTTTAAGTTACAGCCTTTAAATTCTTTTTTTCTTCTTTTTTTTTCAAGATTTATTTATTTTTATTGCAAAGTCAGATATACAGAGAGAAGGGAAGACAGAAAGATCTTCCGTCCGATGATTCACTCCCCAAGTGATTGCAACGGCCAGTAATGCGCCGATCCAAAGCCAGAAGCCCGGAGCTCTTCCGGGTCTCCCACATGGGTGCAGGGTTCCAAGGCGTTGGGCTGTCCCCGACTGCTTTCCCAGGCCACAAGCAGGGAGCTGGATGGGAAGCGGGGCTGTTGGGATTAGAACTGGCACCCATATTGGATCCCGGTGCGTTCAAGGACCTTAGCCGCTAGGCCATGGCGCCGGGCCCAGCCTTTAAAATCTTAATTCAATTGAGAAGCATTTGGTCTGGTGGTCAGGGTGCCAGTTAGGACATATAGTTCCTCGGTTTGACCTGTGGCTCTGGCTCTTGATTCTGGCTTCCTGCTCATGTAGACTGTGAGTGGCAGTTGTTACGAATCCAATAGCTGTGATTGAGCCAGCTCGCGGGATACCTGGATTACATTCCTGGCTCTCAGCTTTGACCTAGCCCAGTCTAGGAAGTGAACTAAGTGAGATGAGATGGAATCTCTCTCTCTTTCTCCCTTTCTCATTTTCCACTCTCCTTCTCCCCGCCCTGCCCCCTCTGTCTCTTTTCACTTCCCATCCCTCTTCTTCTTTTTCTCCCGTATGATCTTACTCGCGCTTGCATTCATTCATTTTCCCCCTCTGTCTTTGCCTGTCCAGTAAAGTGAAAGGCAGAGTGGCAGAGGGAGAGACAGATGCTTTCCATCTGCTGGTTCACTGCCCATAATACAAGTGCCAGGTCAAAGACAGGAGTCAGGAATTTCATCCTGGTTCTCAACATGGATGGCAGGGCCCAGGCTTGGACTGTCATCTGCTACTCTCTCAGGCACGTCAGCAAGAAGCTGGATAAGAAACAGAGCAGCTGAGAACGGAGCCAGCGCTCCAGGATGGCGGAGTTGGGGGCGTTAGTGTCTTAACCCGTTGCAACCCAATGCCAGCCTCAAGTCAAACATTAAGAAGGAAGCTACAAATTCACCTTTTTCCCATTTGAAAGTGATTTTTAAAAGTGTGCAGTTTGATGTTTCAGTAGTTTAAAAAAAAATTGCAATATTCTTTCAGAAGTTCATTTCAACAAATAGAAACTGCCTGTGCCTTTTTTTTTTTTTTTTAAATTCTCTTTTCCCCAGAGTAGAGGTGAGGTTTTGTTTGGGAGATAGCAGTAAGGAATGTAATTTGCTGTTAATTTTATTTTTATTCAGGCACCGCAGGAGCCATCCAGGAGGGAAGTATAACTCGAGGAACCCCAAGCAGCAAGATCTCCGTGGACAGCATCTCCTCCCTGCGGGGCTCCATCACTCAGGTTCGTCCTCGTCTCCCACCCGTGAGTGGGCATGTCATGCTACGTGGTGACTAGAGAGGGACAGTCCAAGGCTCATGAACTTCGTTCCAGCACTCTGCCCGAGCTTTGTGACCAAGTTGCTCGCCGTTCTGGGTCCTGGGACTGGATTTCAGGGATAGTAAACCTCAGGTCTACAAAGTACTTAAAGATCATTTTAACCACTAACTGTTCTTTCTCCTATGATTCACCTGAAAAGGTTACTTCCACATCGGCAGAAGAAACATGCTCTAAGTAATGAAAATTCCACAGTTTGGCTAGCAGCATGCTCAGCACATGTTCAGTTTAAGTAGAACTTAAGAGTTATTGCAAATTATTTGCTCCCTTTTGCTCCTTGTAGAGCTGCAGGTCTATCGCCTCAGGATGTTAGCCGCTTTGTACAAATCAGATGCTAAAGTATAAAATGTGTACAGCATTAATAAAAGCGGCAAGTATTAAATATTTTCCTCCAACTTGCAGGCAGATAAATTGCCCATTTTGACTCAGGAATGGCCTTTCTATAGTCAGGTGTTAATGTGGAATGTGGAGATGTGGAGGATGAGAAAGTCTGTATTGGGAAGTCACTGTGAATAGAAGCCTGCACAGTTGCAGGCGTGTGTCAGTTTTTGTACATCTTACAGGTTTTCTCTTTCGTATTGCCATGCCCTCTAGCGGTGATTCCCAGGTATGGCAGGTCATTCACATTAGTTCTTTGTTTTTAAAAATTTATTTTTGTTTGAAAGGTAGTGTTGCAGAACAGAGACAGAGAAGGGTCTTCCGTCTGCTGCTTCATTCCCCCGAATGGCTGCAACAGCTAAACCTCAGCCTGCCTGAAGCCAGCAGCCAGGAGGTTGTTCTGGATCTCCCATGTGGGTGTAGGGATCTGAGCACTTGAGCTATCCTTCGCTGCTTTCCTAGACATAAGCAGAAGGCTGAATTGGAAGTGGAACAGCCTGGATAAGATCCGATGCCAATATGGGATGGCAGAAATCTAATTGTGCCTCTGTCCCAGAGCCTGTGTTAGTAGCAGCTAGAGTCAGGAGCTGGAGGGAGGCTGCAGATGCTACAGTGGGGACAGGGGGTGTGTGAAAGTTACAGCCGGAGTTACTATCCGGGATGAACATCTGGCTCTGAAATGGCTTTTCTCAAACTTCAAGATGGGATATACAAATGAAAATACATACCTATCCTAATTTGAACGAGGCTTATGTGGTGGATGTTTGAGGTTGAAGATACAGCAATTCTTTGTTTACAAAAACAACTTAATTGAAAGATAGTTAAACTGTTTGTGGGTTTGTACCCTAAAGCCTGGGCTGGGCCAGGCCTAGGAACCTGGAACTCAGTCCTGGTCTCCAGTGTGGGGATCTTGGGCCCAGCCACTTGAACTGTCAGGTGTGTCTGACGATACACATTAGCAGGAGGCTGGTATTGGAAACACAGCAGAGATTTGAACCCCGGCATGCAAGCATCTCAGGAAGCGTCTTAACTGCTATATCAAGTAATTGAATTTACAAAATTTGTTTTCAGAAATTAATGTCTGATCGCTTCCCCTGCACTATTGCTGGGTTCTCTGAAGATTCAGATGCATGGGACTCTGGGTGTGGTGGGCTGGATTTTCTGAGCATTTTGCCTTTCCTGAACCCGGAGTGACTCTTGTGCTGCTTGTGTTTGATTGGATGGCAGGGTACCCCGGCTCTGTCCCAGGCTGGCATACCCACTGAGGCACTGGTGAAGGGATCCAGTTCTCGAATGCCCATTGAAGAGCGTAGTCCTGAGAAAGGCAGAGAAGAAGCCGCATCCAAAGGCCATGTTATCTATGAAGGCAAGAGTGGACATATCCTGTCCTACGACAGTAAGTACTGGCTAGATAGCCTGAAGTCAGTATTGTAGTGGGTGGCAGAAACACAGGCTGATTTTCCTGCCTTCTGGCAGCGGGGAACTCTGTCAGCTTGGAAGTGTTTTGTGAAAATCCGGAGAGACAATCCTTGGAAGTAAATGGCAGTGCAGGGTGGGTCCTAAGTGTCTCATGTAAGTCATCATCGAACACAGTTTAATCTAACAAATCTGTGTTCAACTAAGATAAAATCACTTTTGACCATTAGGCAAGGGTCTGACTAAATTTGCTATCAACTGCCTGTGCCCTTGGTGTAATCTATCTCTTTGTCTTCAGATTAAAAAAAATAAAGTATGTGAGTACACTGCCTGATGCTGTAAAATGTGTGATTGCTTTCTTGTTCCCTCCTCATTGCTTCCTTGGAGTCCTGCTTTTCTTTTCATATTCCCCCCAAAAATCACTTGTTTCTGTTCTATTTCCTGAAGTCTCTGGAGTCTATCCATTATTCTGTATTTCCCATTGCTGTTGCCATCTGTCACCTCCATGGCCCAGGTTCTCCCTGAGTGCCCTGCTTTTTGTCTGGTCTGTGTGAGGGGAGTTCCTCATGGTGCCCTGTTGACTCCCCATTGCTGTGGAGCCCTGCTCTTCATGGCTCTTCAAAGCGTGGCCTTCCCACAGTTCCTTTCACCCACCTCTACTGCCCCTGCCATCTCTGCCTGACTCCACTCTCCATGGGAACCATTTACTTTTAACAAATGTAAAAGGACTTAATTTGTTAATCTTACCTATAAGCATACCTTAACCCCTGACACACGTCACAGGCATTCAGTATTTCTGAATGAATGAGAACATTTTCATGAATGTCATCTATGCAGATGATGATATTGTTTCATAAAATAGGCTGAAATGAACAGAATTTATATACTCTCTAGCAAAAATCTTGGACTCTAGGCAATTCTTGTTTCTGTATTTTTCAGATATTAAGAATGCCCGAGAAGGGACTAGGAGTCCGAGAACAGCACATGAAATGAGTTTAAAAAGAAGCTATGAATCCGTTGAAGGAAATATAAAGCAAGGGATCTCGATGAGGGAGTCTCCTGTCTCAGCACCACTAGAGGGTGAGCTGCTTTCTACATGTTCTTTAGATGGATGTAACTGTTTGGTCAGGATTGCTGAATTGTGTTCTGTCATTTCTACCTGAAATGAGTTGAAATTTATGCTCATCTGCATGCATATCATGTAGTGGAGGGAATTTGAAAAAAAGAAGACAATTGCTCATATCATACGCAGCTGTTAGAATGCTCATGTTTAAATACTTTGACCGTTTGTACATTACCTTCTGTTTAAATGAGTTCGAAAATGGAAATTTATTATAACTTTGTTTTGAAATTGTGTAATTCGTACAGCAAAGATGTGACTCTGCATCTTAGTCTTATCCCTGCTGGTGAGTTTCTGTCCAGCTGTTTCTTCCCCTGTGAAGTAAGGGACTCTACCACCCCTTGGGTGAGGCGTGCAGACCGTGTTACTCAGCATGCACCGGGGGATCCCCTTTCAGCAAACCGTCATCTTGCTTTGCTTTGATTTTTGTTAATGAAGTACCTGCTTTAAATCTTAATATATCCCAACTACGTTTACTCTACCCAGCTTTTAGTGCTTTATCTAAATCGTACGTAATTTTTAAAGATTTATTTATTTTTATTTGAACGATGGTTTTTAAAGAAAGAGGAGGAGAAATGGAGAGGTCCTTCATCCTCTGGTTCACTCCTCAACAGCCAGAGCTAAACTCATGTGAAGCTGAGCGCTTCCTCTGGATGGTCCTTGTGGATACAGAGTCCAAGGGGCTTGGGCCATCCTCCACTCATTTCGCAGGCCAACACCAGGGAGCTGCACCTGAAGTGGAGCAGCCAGAACAGGAACCAGCATGCTAATGGCTGCTCGCACAGCAAGGTGGAGGATTAGCCTATTATGCCACTCTGCCAGAGCCATTTCTATATCGTTTCCTGAGAGCTGAATTTTCTCTATATAAAACAAAACCATTTTTATTTTCTCTTGGGTATTTTCATATGGTTGTTTATAATCCTTGATTCATCTTTTTCAGCAGTATTAATGTGGAATTTAAGTTACTTTATTTTGTTTTGCATATTTCTGTGAAATTATTTTTCATTTTTTCCCCCCTGTTAAGGTATATTTCAAGGCTGTGTGATGATTTCTAATCCTCTACTTTGGGATTTGTTTTTTTAAAAACATTTATTTACAAATTGAAATGCCAAAAGAGGGTTCAGCATTGTGGCATAGTCTGACCTGACTCCCTGCTGAGCGCACCAGGGAGAGCAGCAGGGGACGGCCCGAATGCCTGGGGTCCCTGCTGCCGGGGGGACTGCAGCGCCCAGCTGGGGAGTGAACCAACAGATATGTGTCATACGTGTCTGCCTTTCTATCTCTCTCTCAATCTCTATCTCCGTCTCTCCCTTTCACATTTAAAACATACTTTTTTTTTCAAAGAGGCAGAGGCAGAGATCAAGGTGTTCCATCTGATGGTTCACTCTTGGGAGTAGCCACAAGAGTTAGGGCTGGGTTGGATTGGAGCCAGAAGCCAGCAGTTCCAGCCGGGTCTCCCACATACTGGCAGGGACTCCGGCATGTGGGCCATCCTCTGCCACTCCTCAGGTGCGTTAGCAGAGTTCCCAGGAACCTGGTCTGGCACTGCAGTAGGAGTGTGGCAGCTCAATCTGTCATGCCTCAGTGCCTTCCCCCAGCTCTGCGATTTTCGATTCAGCTTTGAAAATGTCTTGTTTGACTCAAGGTTAGATTTCCTCCATGACCGTTTTGTATGTAGGAAAACATTGACAAGAACTGTTTGATACCATGCAGGTGTTCTTATTTTCTGCAGGGTTCACTTCTGGTTGACTCACGTATTTCAGATGCCATCCCTTCCACTGAAGCACTTTAACCAAAAATGCCTATTCTCAGACCATTAAGTGTGTTCAAACTGACACAAAAGGGAAAACTTTGTGGGAAAATGGAGTTTTGACAACAAAATTTTAAATCTGCATAGCTTTTTCATAATTATTTTCATGAATATCTTGAAAACCCTTTTGCAGTGTATTTGGTAACCATGTTTTGCTTTCTTGTTCCAAAGGGCTGATCTGCCGAGCCTTGCCTAGGGGAAGCCCTCACTCTGACCTCAAAGAAAGGACCGTGCTGTCAGGCTCCATAATGCAGGGTAAACTTCTCCTCTACTTACGCTGCCTTGCTGGCAAGAGTTGGACATTAATTTTCATTTAGTGTGTGAATTCTGCTTTCAAGATATTTTTCCCTTTTAAAGTATTTTGTAGTAAGCGCTTGATTGTACTTTTCCTGTCTCTGAGCTACAGTTTATTGGAAGATGATAGTTCTCTGGTCTTTAAATATAGACAACTTTTTATATAAAAAATCCATTCTGTGAGATTCTGATGAATGCTATGTAACATCTTGAACAACTCTAATAAATAGTTGTTGAATACATATTTGAGGACTTATGGTAAACAGGTAATCAGAAACTGCAAGAGGGTAAGGCATTATTTTTTAAATTATAGTAAATCTACATTAAAATTTTACTCGGTTTTAAGTGTACATTTTTGTAGCATTGTTGTGGAGCGAACAGTTTTTTCTTTTGATTTGAAAGAGAGACATAGCTCAATGTCATTTTAATGAGAGTGTTTCCTGTGTCCTTTTTGAAGGCACACCAAGAGCAACAACTGAAAGCTTTGAAGATGGCCTTAAGTATCCCAAACAAATTAAAAGGGAAAGTCCTCCCATTAGGGCATATGAAGGCGCCATTACCAAAGGAAAACCATACGATGGCGTTACCACCATCAAGGAGATGGGGCGTTCCATTCATGAGATCCCACGGCAAGACATTTCAACTCAGGAGAGCCGGAAGACTCCAGAAGTGGTCCAGAGCACGAGGCCCATCATTGAAGGGTCCATTTCCCAGGTGACTGGAGAATCAGCAATTCTGCTGATGGGACATCTTAAAAACCATGACTTAACTATAAAAGGTTCCTGTGATTTGGCAGAAAAATCTTCTGTACTCTTGACCACTGGTTTTTCTTGTGTTCATACACAGAGTATATCCAGTCGGACACCATGCACCTGAGATCAGTGGGCTTGGGACTGAGACAGTGTTACCGGGCAGGCATAGCTGCCACGGGCCACTGTGTTAATCTGCAGGTGACTTGGCTCTCTTGTCCTGTTTTTCTTTCCTTGTAGGGTACACCAATAAAGTTTGACAGCAACTCAGGTCAATCTGCCATCAAACACAATGTCAAGTCTCTGATCACAGGACCTAGTAAACTTCCCCGCGCCATGCCTGTGGAGATTGTGCAAGAGAACATCAAAGTGGTAGAAAGGGCGAAGTATGAAGATGTCAAAGCCGGCGAGCCCGTGCGTTCCCGGCACACATCTGTGGTGAGCTCGGGCCCCTCGGTCCTCAGGTCCACCCTCCACGAAGCTCCCAAGGCCCAGCTGAGCCCGGGCATCTACGATGACACCAGTGCCCGGAGGACTCCTGTGAGCTACCAGAACACCATTTCCAGAGGCTCACCCATGATGAGCAGAACCTCTGATGGTACGTTACATTCTGGGGCCCAAATGAATCAGCTTTAATACATTATAATTTGTTCTTGTGTGGGCTACAAGATGGTGCATTGATACATGTGTATGTTACACAGTGCCTGGATTAGGGAATTAACATATTCAATACCTCGGACATTTCCGTGCTTCTCTGTATTGATGGTCTGGTTACTCTAAAATTTATTGTTTATTTTATATACTTGAAAAGAAGAGAGGGAGAGAAATCTTTGCTGGTTCTGTCCCCAACTGCAGCAGCTGTAACTGGTCAGGCTGAAGCCAGATGCCCTTGAACTCAGTCTGCCACCTGGGTCGCGGGGCCTGAGCACCTGAGTTGCCGCCTGCCACCTCCCAGCAAGCGTGTTAGCAGCTACGCGCTGGAAGCAGAGCCGCGGTTTGACTGGGCCCTCTAGGGAGGGCGTGGACCTTGTAGGAGGCATGAGAACCATTGGGTCAGATACCCACCCCAGCCCGATGGTTTTGTTGCACTTTTCCACCTTTGACGAGTAGTAAATTTCAAATTGTTAGCTCTTGATTATCACAAGATTTGCCATTTTGCTTGATGCTAGGAATGCAAAAAGCTGTTGTTTGAAAGGCATAATCTTGGGTAAAATGCTTAACTAACAGTGTGATAGTCTAGCAGTGCTCTAGAATGGATTTTCAGCTAATCATGTAAGATCTTTCTGAAGGTCCATTTTGGCAAGTCATTCTCCAGCAGTGGTGTCATGTGCTGGGTTGAAAATTAGATAGCAGAGCAAGCAAGATTGTTAAGAGTTGAATTAAAGTTTCTTACTGCATAAACTCAGGCAGCTAATTTTTTTGTGCCTTAGTTTGCTCTGGGTAAAGCTCTACTGTAGTATTAAGCCCACCCACACAGGATTGTTGTGAATCTGATGTGACATGTTATCATTAAACAACTTGGAGGGCAAAGTGCAATAGCCTGGTGGCTAAATCCTTGCCTCATGTGCGCCGGGTCCAATATGGGCACCAGTCCATATCCCGGCTACTCCACTTCCCATGCAGTTCCTTGGCCTGGGAAAGCAGTGGAAGATGCCACAAACCCTTGGGTGCCTGCATGGGTCGGAAACTCGGAAGAAGCTACTGGCTTCAGATTGGCTCAGCTCTGGCTATTGCAATCACTTGGGGAGTGAAGCAGAAAAAGTGCTTTTAAGGCCATTTCAGTCCATATATATTTAGAGCTCACATGCAAAGACTTGGTGCGCATCTATAAATTCGTTTCAAAAAAAGTTTTGTGGGCTAGTGGCGTGGTAGTGAAAGGGAGAAGCGAAGTGCCTGGTAATGGAGAATATCTGCACTACACAGAGGGGAGCCCTCCACCTGTTGACAGCGTGCGGGGAAGGGTGGGGAACGGGCAATGACAAACCGCAAGTAGCAGGGTTTGGCTTTGGCAGGCAGACATAATATCGTCACAGCAAAGTCTATATTATAAAAATTGTAGCAACTAGATGGTGGTGAAGTTTTACAACATCATGTTGATGTCTGATGCCACTGACTGTGTGAGTGAGTGTGGTCTCAGTCTCGGAGTGAGAGAGAGAGAGAGAGAGAGAGGCCACAATTTTAAAAACTGCGGGAGGTGACTGCTAGAGGTTAATGGGCTAGGCCGTGGTAGGGCAGTCTAACCACAGGGAAAGGAGAGGCTGCAGGGCGGAAGTGTCACTGCTGTCAGTGCCATGAGAAAGCCACCGTGGAAGAGAGGAGCGTGGAGAAACGGAGTGAACCTGCTGGCAGATGGTCGTGAGGCCGGCGGTGAGCACCGAGCAAGAGGGCAGAGGGAGGTTGGGTACCTGTGGGACCAGAAGGTCACCGAGAAAACAGAATCCTCCGTTATGGGATTTTGATGGGACAGTTGAATCCTAAAGTAAGGTACAACAGTGCTGCGCCCAAAAGGGAGCAATGGTCTCTGCACGTCAGAGCTTCTATTCACCATCGTTGCATTTTCCCGAAGTGAGTGCTGCTGGAAGAGAGAAGATCAAAATATTACATGAGGAGAGTCTACATTTGAATAGCACAAAAATGAATTAATGTTTTTATATAGATTACAAGTTTTCTGAAGAATTTTTGACACGTTGTTTTTTGTTTTTTTTTTCTTCCCAGTTACTATTTCTTCCAGCAAGTCTACCAATCATGAGAGGAAGTCTACACTGACCCCTACCCAGAGGGAGAGTATACCAGCGAAGTCCCCGGTGCCCGGAGTGGACCCTGTCGTGAGCCACAGCCCGTTCGATCCCCACCACAGGGGCAGCACTGCAGGAGAGGTTTACCGGAGCCATCTGCCCACGCATTTGGATCCAGCCATGCCGTTCCACAGGGCTCTGGATCCTGGTAAGAATGGCACTGGTGACGATGTAAGGGAGAGCAAAAATATTTTCTGCATCACTGGAACGTGTTCTGTTACAGTACACGGTTGAGATGACTGTACATATTATCTGCCTGCAGCTCTGGGTTTGCACTCACTGAACGTCCCCATGTCACCAGCAGCCCTTAAAGAACTGAAAAGATAAGGAAAGCCTTCTCTGATGGCAGGTGGTGAAGCTGATTGAAAAAAATGGTTAACATGAATAAGTACTTTAAAATGACAGGCACATCTTAAGCATGTTAATTTATAATAAAAAATGATTAACCAGTATTTATAAGGCCAAAGTGTGTGTTTAGTAAGCTTTACCTTATTTATTTTTTTCAGGTTTTTATTTCATTGCAAAGGCAGATTTACAGAGAGAAAGCTCTTCTGTCCTCTGGTTCATTCCCTAAGTGGCTGCACTGGCCAGAGCTGAGCTGATCTGAAGCCAGGAACTTCTGAATTTCCTACCCACGTGTAGGCACCCAATGCCTTGGGCCGTCCTTGACTGCCTTCCCAGGCCACAAGCAGGGAGCTAGATGGGAAGTGGAGCAGCCCGGGTTACAAACCAGTGCCTCTGTGGGATCCTGATGCATGCAAGGCGAGGACTTTGGCTGCTAGGCTATCCTGCAAGGCCCACATTGTCTTTCTTATACAAAAGAATAATGCTGCCTGGTGTTCTGGCACAGCATAGCACATTAAGCCAAAGTGTAGGGCATCCCATGTCAACTTCAAGTCCTGCCTGCTTTGCTCCTGGTCCAGCTCTCTGTGGATGTACCTGGAAAGCAGCAGATGATGGCCCAAATGCACGGGCCCTGCACTGATGTAATTTGCAATAAAATATTTTCTAAAGGTACTTTTGCTACTAGAAATATAAACAACCTCAAAATTCTTAGCTTTGGGCCCTGCATGGCACCCTAATGCCTGAAGTCCTTGCTTTGCATGTGTTGGGCCGGGATCCCATACGGGCGGCACCAGTTCATATCATGGCTGCTCTACCTCCCATCTAGCTCCCTGCTTGTGGCCTGGGAAAGCAGTTGAGGACGGCCCAAGCCTTGGGACTCTGCACCTGCGTGGGAGACCTGGAAGAGGCTCTGGGTCCTGGCTTCGGATCGGTGCAGCAGGGGCCTGGAACTCCACCCCTATCTTCCACACAGTGTAGTTACCCAAGTACTTGGACCTTCCTCCACTGGTTTCCTAGGCACATTGGCAGAAGTCTCAGTCACAAGCAGAGCAGCCAGGACTCGGAGCCGACCAAGGATCCTTGTGTCTGAAGTGGCCATTTGCCAAGCTGAGTCACAATGCTGGCCCTGCTTGTCAGAAGTGTTATGTTCTACTTTTTAGCATACTGCTGCGTCCCAGCATTTTGTGCCGTACTATCACCTCAGCATTGGCAGACTGCAGCTTGTGGGCCAATTCCTGTTGCCACCTTGTTCAGAAATTGAAAATGTATGGGCCTGGCACAATGGCTCATTTGCTTCACCTTGCTTCTGCTGGGATCCCATATGGGAGCCAGTTTTGTGTCCTGGCTGCTCCACTTCCCATCCAGCTCCCTGCTTGTGGCCTGGGAAGGCAGGTGAGGACGGCCCAAAGCCTTGGGAACTGGTTCTCACCTGGGAGACCCGGAAGAGACTCTGGCTGCTGGCTTCGGATTGGCTCAACTCTGGCCATTGCAGCCACTTGAGGAGTGAACCAGCAGATGGAAGATCTTTCTCTCTCTCTCTCTATTAATTTGCCTTTCAAAAAAATTTTTTGTGAAAACACAGCCACACCAACTCTTCTTTCTGTGACTTCTTTTTTTTTTCCTATGGCAAAACTAAGTTGCCGTGACAGAAACCATATGGCATACAAGGCATGAAGTATCTCCCATGTGGCCATTTACAGAAAAAGTTTCCATTCCCAGCTCCAGTCACACACACACTGAATCCATGCTTGTGTCTTCACTGTTTTTACCTACAGGAATGTAAACTTGCTGTTTGTCACAAGAAGTTTTCATGTGCATTGCTGTCACTTGTATTGGATGGTCAGCCCTACAAACATAACCTTAGTTTCCGACATAACTTTAGATGCTTTAGGTGAATACAATGACGTGTCAAGAATTGGAAATGAAACCACTTGGGACACTTGTGACGACTCTTCTCCCTTTGCATTAAGTCTCAGATGTTAGCAGGAGTTAGAATGCACAATGCGGAAATGCTGAGGCGTGAAGTAGATTATTAAGAATATTAAGATATGGAGTAGATTATTAGGAACACTAAGGTGTGGAGTAGATTAAATAAAGATCTCTCCTAACCCCTCCTTGCAGCTAGTGTGTAGCTAAAGGTTGCACATCCACTCCGTGGTAGCTGGCTTTTTCCTTATGCTGGGTGAGCTTTAGCAAGTGCATTTCACTCAGTACGAAACTCAGTGCCTCTTTCTCATTCTCTCACTCAGCAGCTGCTGCTTACCTGTTTCAGAGACAGCTTTCACCAACTCCAGGCTACCCAAGTCAGTATCAGCTCTATGCAATGGAGAACACGAGGCAGACAATCTTAAATGATTACATTACCTCACAGCAGATGCAAGTGAACTTGCGCCCAGATGTAGCCAGAGGACTCTCCCCGAGAGAACAGCCACTGGGTCTCCCGTACCCGGCAACCAGAGGTGTGTGTCTTTGCAGTTCCGATGTCATCGGTGTATGATGTTTACCCGAGGGTCCAGATGCTCAGTAAATTACTTCTTGCGTGAATGATGGAAAGAAAATACTACAGTGTTTTCACATCCTCAGCTCATCTATCAGCAAGAGAGATGGCATGTGAAATAAGTCATCTGTCATTGAGCCCGTTGCTTGACGTCCATGTCTGAGCAGTCGGCTGTCACTCTTTGTCCTGTGTTTCAGTTATGGGCGGGGAACAGATATTTCCTGTTTTTCTGTAGATTGTTGAGGGCATTCTTAAAAAGTGATAGTGACCTTCCAACATTTTCGGTTGACAGGGAGACAAGATCAACAGCCATGTAGGTTTAGAGTAACATTTAACCTAGATTGCATTTGTCTTTTACCTAGGAATCATTGACCTGACCAATATGCCTCCAACGATTCTAGTGCCTCACCCTGGGGGGACCAGCACCCCTCCCATGGACAGAATCACGTACATTCCCGGGACACAGATCACTTTCCCCCCCAGGCCATACAACTCTGCATCCGTGTCTCCTGGTAAGGTCCCGCGGGCTCGGACCACGCTCACGGGCCAAGCATGTATTTTAAGATGTTTTAGGCAGCTTTTCCCCACTTAGTTTTCTGGTTTTTAGTTGACATTTAGTAACGGTTGCTTTGTACCATCTGTGGCTAGACTCCCTAGAAATATCTTGTGTTACACTCCAAAACTCGTAATAAGATAAATTTCCTGCACTCCAGATTTGGAGGTATCTTTTTTGTCTTTTGATTGATATGCCTTTTAAAGTCGCTTGATAAACTTGATAGGTTGACTTTTTTTGTCATTAAATTGCAGATGTATTTGTTTCACAGGACACCCGACACACCTTGTAGCAGCTGCAAGCGCGGAGCGGGAGCGAGAGCGGGAGCGTGAACGCGAGCGAGAGAGGGAGAGAGAGAGGGAGAAAGAACGGGAACGGGAGCGGGAGCGGGAGCGGATCGCTGCAGCCTCCTCGGACCTCTACCTGCGCCCAGGTCAGTGGAAGGCCGTGACCCTGTGGCCTCCAGCTGGACCCTGGTCTTACGGCGGGGTCTGGGGTATTATTACGCCATGAAAGATGGAAACAAAATTCTAGGACACAGTGTTATCAGAGGGTTCAAATTGAGATCACAGAAGGGTGAATTTTTCCTAGAAAAATTAAGTTTTCATGATAAAGTTCCTATTTTGATTTGACCTGAGCATTTGTTTCTAGCTAGGCCTGAGGTCTTCAATGCAGAGCTGTGAAAGCTCCAAGAAGCCCAGGCCGTGGTTCCAGTATCTGAAGTGTTGCTGGCAAATGGTGTTAGGAGGTGATGTGGCATCTTGAATTCGAACCTGGTGCTGCCATTCTGCTCAAGTGGGAAAGGAGTGATTAGAGTGTGGCATTAGACAGATTAGAATCCTCAAGGAGGCCATGCACTGCTGCCAGAGGTCTGCCGGCTTGGACTAACGGTGGCCTGGACTGTTCCAACAAATGGAATGGACAGAAAGGAACTACCAGGAAGAATATGAAGGAAGAACCAAAGCTTAATAATCAAGTATGAGGATTAAAGGGAAGATCAGAAACAAGGTTTGGTCTACAGTTAAGATAGAGCATGATAAGGGAAAGAGATGGTCATCTTTATTCTGGATATACTTAGTCTCGTGTGTCTTGGAGCCATCTGCCATCCCTGATATACTTCCCATTTTTAGTTTTTTCCAGTTAAATCATCTCCCATGTCTGCATTATCCTAGACACAGCCCTGGCACTCAGGCGAAAAGACCGGGTTTGGAGGTGTTGATAAGGAGTTGAAACTGTGGTGTCAGAGAGGTGTCCAAGGCATGCATATGAAGGGAGGATTCAGTGTGCTGCCAGGGCTGACCTGGGGTGGGCACGGACAGAGGAAGGTACAGAACCTGGGGCCCGAGAGTGTCATAGGACTTAGGCCCTGCGTAGCCCGGGGGGCTGGCAGCACCTGTCCAAGCTGGACACGTTTAGCTGTGACCTATACACAAGTACGGTAACAATCCCCGAGAACCTGTCCGTAGGAAATGCTTTCATGAATAGCACCATAACATTGAAAATCAAAGCTACACACAGGTGTGTAACTATAGCGGGACACATGTTTCTAAAATGCACATGGCCACACACTGATGGACTCAGCTTTAAGACAGTAAAATACCGGTTTTCTGTGTCGGACGTTTAAAACATTGACAGATATTGTGTGTTGCAGTGCCTAAAGAAACAGGTACACTAGCATAGGGTAGTGTCAACTGCAGCGTCCCTGTGAGAGGTAAAAAGCTTTAAATGCTATTCCATCGGCATTCCACTTGCAGGAATATTTTCCATAGAAACACTCATATAAAGTAATGAATGGTCAGAAGGAAGCAAATTGTGAGCTGGTTCTCAGTATGAAATCAGGAGTGTATACTCCAGACACTAACTCCGAGGAGGCCAATAAATGATGCAGGATTGATGGGAGGCTACAGAGCGAGCGAGAGTGATTGAAGGGGCAGTTTGAGTTCAGAATGCTCCAAGTGACTGTGAGGAAGGACTAGCCCTGTCCATAATGGGAGGGACAGAGTGAGAAAAATGTCTTCGCACTTAGAAAAGTGTGTCTACCCACCCAGTTTGCGGATGGGTAGTGGGAGAGTTCCTGTGGAGAGCAAGGACTGCAGGGAGTCGGAGCCTCGCAGCGCCGGCACGTACGCTGGACGTTTTATTAGGCTAAGCAGAACGCCGTACTTAATCTTCAGAAATCATACACACGCCAGAGTTTGAGGATAAGTCTGAGAGTAGACTTTTCTGGTTGCCATAAGCTTCTTTCTTTTGGTGCCAATTTTGCCTAGAATCAAGATCGAAACTTGTCACAAAAATGGAAACGCCAATAAATGCCTTACGTTTTATTGCATCTTCATCGAGCATGTGTAAAACAAGTTTCTAGTGAGGTCAGAAAGGAAGGTTGTTCTTTTCGAATATGGAGCTCTGGGCAGCTAGCAGGAAGTGCTGCTGCCTCCGTGTCCAGCTGCTTTCTCACAGCTGCTCTCGTTCTTTTTCCTTTTGTGCCCAGCAGGCTCAGAACAGCCCGGCCGGCCTGGCAGCCACGGGTATGTCCGCTCCCCGTCCCCTTCCGTGAGAGCTCAGGAGACCATGTTGCAGCAGAGACCCAGCGTCTTCCAGGGAACCAACGGAACCAGCGTCATCACCCCTTTGGATCCAACTGCTCAGCTACGAGTCATGTCAGTCCCTTGTTACACATTTTGATTACCGAAAAAAGTCTTGCATAGACATTTTGAATTTTGTAATTCCGTAGTATCAATCCAGTCCCAGTTTTCTCTCTGCCGACTCCGTTTTGCAGTCCATCCCCCCCACCCTATTCCCGGTAGCTGATCTTCCCTTCACAGAGCTGTGGTTTGGTTTTATTTACAGGCCACTGCCCGCTGGGGGCCCTTCCATAAGCCAAGGCCTGCCAGCCTCCCGCTACAACACTGCTGCGGACGCCCTGGCTGCTCTTGTGGATGCCGCAGCTTCTGCACCCCAGATGGATGTTTCCAAAACAAAAGAGAGTAAGCATGAAGCTGCCAGGTTAGAAGACAATTTGAGAAGCAGGTCAGCTGCAGTTAGTGAGCAGCAGCTAGAGCAGAAAACCCTGGAGGCGGAGAAGAGATCTGTTCAGTGTCTGTACACTTCTTCAGCCTTTCCAAGTGGCAAGCCCCAGCCTCATTCTTCAGTAGTTTATTCTGAGGCTGGGAAAGATAAAGGGCCTCCTCCAAAATCCAGATATGAGGAAGAGCTAAGGACCCGAGGGAAGACTACCATTACTGCAGCTAACTTCATAGACGTGATCATCACCCGGCAAATTGCCTCGGACAAGGATGCGAGGGAACGTGGCTCTCAAAGTTCAGACTCTTCTAGTAGCTGTATGTATCTCAATCTAGTTTCACAATGTGATATCTGAGTAAAGAATTACTTTCTCCTCTAGGTAAAGCAGAAGCTTCTGGCATTTTTAAAACTCCTGATGTTTGATGGTCAGTGTCACAGAAAAGATGTTGTGGGTTGGCAGCGCAAAAACATGTCTCTCACTGTGAACGTTTAAACACCCCAGTGTCCTAAGTACAAGTTTATCAGTGTGTTTCCAAAACAAAGCTACCTTTTAGAGCACCGAGCTGGGAAAGCAGACAGCTGTGAAGACAGCCTGTCAGCATGCAGAGGCGTCTGATGGGTGTACTTGGTCTGGAAGCACTGCCAGTATGCTGTTCAGGACTTCAGCTAATAGCCAAGTTTGTTATATCCTTTACGCGAGATATAGATTTGTACAGAGTGACGCGCCTCACTTTGGCCACTGGTTCTTAGCATTGTACCTTTCTTACAAATTACAGTTCGCTCGGCTTCTGTTAGTCACTGTGATAGGGTAGGTCCTGCAAACCTCCACTACAGTGGGAAAAGAAAAAAGTTAAAAATTCCTTTTTCACTGTTGCTGAAATTCTGTGTGGAATTCCAGAAAGAACAAGCATTTAAACAAACACCTACTAAACGTGAAAGTGATCTAAACATATCATGTTACATCTACATGGAAATTGAAAGGGTTGGAGGCTTTAAAAATTGATTTTTTGTGCACCCCAAGTCATATCCAGGCCTTTTTTGCTCAGATCTCCACCTGCTTAGCTGTTGCTGAGATCCAGAGGAGGCAGCTTGTTGTTTAAGCAGTACAACTTTTCAATATGAAGAAAGTAGCAAACCGGGGAAGAAACCTGCAGCACTCCTAGGAGGAAGTCAGCAGCACACAGGTGGCCCCTGTGCAACGCAGCTTCCCTTGTCACCCCCAAAGCTCGAGCCGGGAGTTCGCATTTCGGAAGGTCTGAAAGTAGAAAAGCCAGGTTCTTTGCGAGTCGCAGTAGCAGTGGGCTGCATGAGCGTCCCAAGCTGGCGGTAATCCTCCAGTGTGGCTTCCAGCTTCCTCTGCAGAGCCTTCCTCGCTCACCCTGGAGGTGAGGGCATCACCTGGGCCTTGCCCCTCTTAGGGGGCTTCGTGAGCACATGGACATGTTTTGAGAGCTTGATTATTGGAAGTTGTTAGCAGACCCGGGGTGCTGGCACATGAAGAGTGATGCGTCACAGTGGATACAGATGTTTCCCATTATTAGTTCCTCAGTGACAGTCTCCATCCTCAGTCGACTGGAGTTGCTAACTGCATTTTTCCATGAGCTGGTGGCAGGAGGAAGGGTTGTTGAGCACGAGAGGCACAGACCATCTCGTACCTGGGTCTGGCTACGGGCATACATCGTTGGAGCCTCCGACAGTTTTCTCACTCAAGTCAGAAAATTCCTAAGCAGGAAGATGCATTTGCCTTCTGGATCCACGGCCGAGGCCGAGGCAGGACTCCTGATGAGCCCTTCACTGGTGTGGCATCACCCACGGTCGGATGGAAGTCCCTGTCTGAGTTTGCTTCCCTTCACACACTCCATGCTGTGGCTGTTCTTTTCACAGTATAACATGGTGCTGAAGAACTATGTGGTTTAATACCTGTCAGCAATAACATTACAGGAGAAAATTATTACATATAACTCAAAACTAAATCCCCATGGTGATGAAGCAGCTTTGTAGCATCTCCTAAGAGCAGGATATCTCCTAGAACTGGGTTTCGTGGACTGAACTAGCAGATTGCAAACTGTTGCCTTGCTTACTCATTCGTCTCTCCTGATGAGTATCTCCCAGCTCCCAGGGGAACATCACAAAGCTGTTCTCTCCTGTGCCTTATCTCATTGTTCCTCATGGAGCCTACCAACATACGTGTTTATTTGAGAGCAAGTGTTCCCATCTTTTCCTTTATTTCTCCGGGCCAGATACAGGAGCCAGGCATGCCACGTGATCCACCCTGCCCTCCAGGGTCTGCACTGGCACAAAGCTGGAGTCAGGAGCGGGAGCCGAGAACTGAATTCCTGATGCGGAGGGAGCCTCTTCATCCCTGGGCTAAACACCTGCTCCTTTCTGGGCTTCTCACAAAGAGCTTAGAACCCACAAGGTTTCAGAAATGCACCAAGGCACGCGGTCACAGTCCACTGAATTTAGTAGTTTTCATTACTTTGGAATGCTGTTGAGCATTTATGCAAAATACAAAAAAACGAAAATATGGAGCTTGAATAACTTATGCTTTTGAAACTTTTCATAGGATTAGTTTTAAAATAAGATTCTTTTCTTAAAGTGTCTTCTCACAGGTATGACACAACTAATGATGCTATTGAGGTGATAAGCCCAGCCGGCTCACCTGCGCCGCCCCGGGAGCAGCTGCAGGCCTATCAGCCAGAGACTGTTAAAGCAAATCAAGCAGAAAGTATGTCTCTCAGCCCCCGTTCGCGTGTGTTCTCGTCTAGTTATGTGTTTCTAACCTGTCTAGACCATGAGAAGAAATAACTTGGTCTGTTTTAGGGTAATCTTGTATCCATCTATTCTAGACACATTTAAAACTACAACTACCAAAGTTAGCTTTTAAGCTATCATCGATCACACTTTTGCTTATATTTTAACAAGATGGAAAATAGATGGTATTGATTCCTGTTGCTCATTTCTGTATTCACATTTTATTTTGCTTGTCTCAGATTCTTATCAGTGAAGACATCCCCCCCCCAAATTAAGATGTATTAATTTTGAACTTTGAGAAATGTATCACATTTTGTGTGTTTTTTTGAACTGTTTAATCTTTGATAATGAGTGACAGACCACAGCGTCCCTGGAGTAAGACGTCTGTGTGTCTCTGTTAGACGATCCGGGCAGACCGTACGAAGGACCGCTGCATCACTACCGAGCCCAGCAGGAGTCGCCCTCTCCGCAGCAGCAGCTGCCCCCTTCCTCCCAGGCAGAGGCAGTGGGCCAAGTGCCCAGGACCCACCGGCTCATCACGCTTGCTGATCACATCTGTGTAAGCTTTGCATCATTTTCAAAATTTCCTTTTCTGATCATGCAGAAAGCAGATTCCATTTAGAAAGAAAAAACTATAAAGAAGATATGTGTAGATTTGTACTTTTATTTTAAAAGTCCACATTATTTACTTACTTTTTATTTATTTATCTAACTACTGGGTTCAGTGCCCAAGTACCTGAAATTGCTGGGGACTGGGTCAGCAGCCAGTTGGGAGCCGGGAATTCATCAATTGCACAAACCCATTTCCTTGAGTTGCCACCAACTGCAACTGGCTGTGTGTAAGCAGGAAGCTGGCATCAGGTGTGGGATGGGAACCTGGGCACCCCAGTGTACTGAGATGGGAACTTGTCAATACCAGGCCAGATGCTGGCCTCCAGTGCACCTTTCTATGCAGGTACTTAAGGAGCTTAATCACGGCCTTTTCTTTTCTGTGTCACAGCAAATTATCACACAGGATTTTGCTAGAAATCAAGTTCCCTCGCAGACTCCCCCACAGCCTCCCACTTCTACATTCCAAAACTCGCCATCTGCTTTGGTGTCCACACCTGTGCGGACAAAATCATCAAGCCGTTACAGCCCAGAGTCCCAGCCGCAGCCTGTCCACCATCAGAGACCAGGTCCTAGAGTCTCTCCAGAAAATCTCGTGGACAAATCTCGGGGCAGGTACGGTCTTTACTGCAAATCACTTGCAGATTTTCACCAGACAGTTTGAGTATGCCTAGGCAGGGATCCCTGTCCCATACCACCTTGCGTTCACTGGCCTTTGTTCCCTGGGAGGTGCAGGTGAGCTTTCTTCAGTGTGTGGTGCTTGAGGTGCCTGCCCTCTGAGCAGTGGTGTTCTTGTCTTTTTACTGACACCCAAGTTGATTTTTGTTGCCAGTTATAAAGGACAGTTTAGGGATCCCCTCTATTGGGTTTATAACAATAATTATTTAGGAAAATGACATTAAGGAAAGCAAAGTACAACCAATGGCAACAGGATGGGAGGAAGGAGGTGCCTTACTTGGCAAAAATGCTGGTCACCAGTGTATCCTAGCTGATGTTTGGGTTAAAAGGGGAGGGGAGAGAGAAGGTTTTTGGTTCAGGGTGGCAGGTTAAGCAGTAGTGTATGTTAAGGCACAGTCATGGAACACAGCAGGAGCTCCTGAGAATGGGACAATGAGCCTGGGCAGCAGCAGGTCAGAGTCGGCACATGCCTGGGGACACACACATCGATGAGCCCGAGGAATGGGAGCTGTAGCTCACAGCACGAGAAAGACACGTCTAGTGAAAGGTTCCAGCCTTCCAGCCCTCGCTGCAAGCAGCTGCATGGTCTCTGTTGTAAACATTGTAAACCGGCACAAGGAGAGGGCCCAGGACAGCACGTCGCCGTCTGCCTGGCTCTGGTAGTCACAAGTGAGTGGCACAAACACACACACGCACACGCACACGCACAAACCGACGGGCAGTTCCAGTTCATTTTTTCCCCTTATGTTCTTCCACCAATTGGATTATCTTGAAACAGAATTTTGACATTCATTTCAAGAAGCTGGATAATTTTTTCAAAATACCCACTAATTTATTTATTTGAGATGTACAGTTAGTTAAACACAAAGAGTTCAATTAATCTTCTATCTTCTGGTTCATCCCCCAAAAAAAGAAAAACAAAATGCAATCATGAAGAAAACTGAGAAGCTTATTTACAGGAAAGTCCTGGCCCATTCCTAACGTAAGGTAACCGGCAGCAGATTCTGAGCCACTGACGGCATCTGTTTGTCTTTACTACTGATTTCTGCATCACTACACTTAAGCATCTGGTTAAAATTCTCTTATTGGACTTCGTAAAATCATCCTGTTTTATAGTTCAGAATCTTCGCATCATCCACAGTGTTATAAAATACCATTGACTTTCAACCTATAAGCAAAGCAGTTCTAGACGATGATGACATACATCCTGAGTCACAAAAATAATGGGTCGGGTGGGAGTGGGCAAGAATTGGTAGAAGTAGCAGCGTGGGTTGCTAAACTGCTTCGTTTAAAAAAATACGTTAGAGCTTGACGTGTGCTGTGTGATGTTAAAATAGAGTAAAATGGGCAACCATGTGGAGAAGGCAGATCAAGGTCTTTTTCATGGAGAGAAAGATGGTAACTTTCAAATTTGATAAAGCAGGAAATTATATGATTATTTGAATTTCAGAGGCAAACATCAAATGAGCAACTGTAAGAATGCAGTAGGTTGACCAAGAAAGGAAGTAATAGCATTTGAGTGCAGTGGAACTTAAGTAGTATCAACAGGAACATATTTAATATTGAAAGTTAAAGGTGGCTCCCAATATGCAAAATTGCTAAGCTAAAAAAAATGGTTTTAGATGTTCATCTCACATTATCCCTGGCAGTGTGCAATCCAGAGGAACAATGACATTGCACAGACCCGCAGAGTGGTACGGCTGGAGCCTGTCTTCAGTTAGCACACAGGTCTTTCCCTTATTGAGGGCCAACTAGCAGGTCACGGCTCACACCAAGCACTGCGCTTGGACTTAACATGGCAGGATGCAGCCTCCGCATGAGCTCCCACTGTGGCCACCTCCAGTCACTGGGTACATGGTGACTACTGAAGCGACTGACTCATGAGCTAACCAGTTTCTGTTTGGGTTAAGCCTGTGAATCATCGAAGCACAATCTGATGTCCTCCATGTCGCAATGGCAGGCCTGGAAAATCGCCAGAGAGGAGTCACGTGTCTTCAGAGCCCTACGAGCCCATCTCCCCACCCCAGGTTCCGGTTGTGCATGACAAACAGGACAGCATGCTGCTCTTGGCGCAGAGGGGAGCAGAGCCTGCGGAGCAGAGGTGAGGCGGGTGTGAGGGCTGGGAACCAGTGCCCTTCTCTGATTTGGTTTGTGTGTCAGGATGGGGTTCTAGGAGGATCTGTTTCTCCAGTGTAAATGTTCTATTTTAATACATTAGAGAAAGTGTGGTAATTATTCTTGAAACTCAGTCTTCCTCAGTCTTTGGAAACCTTTTTGCTGGTGGTTGTGTCACTCACGATTTCACCCACCAGGTGAGCGCTTACCAGACACCAAGCACCGTGCTTTCCTGCCTCAGTTTCTCACCCTGGTCCCACCCTATGAATTACTGCATCTGGACCCCCATTTGGATGACATGTTTTTGCTCTAGCCTCTTTCCATTCAGTCACCATCCTTCCACCAGAATTATTTTCTCTAAGACTCACAGAATCAAAGCATTTTGTTCTTTCATAATCAGCTTACTGTACTCGTTCAATTCCATTTCATTCTCACATGCAGATTTGTTTTTGTTTAAAAGGCAGAGTCACAGAGACCCATCTACCATCCAGTGGTTGGTTCACTCCTCAAATGGCTGCAGTGGCCGGGACTAGGCCAAGCCGAACTAGGGAGCTCCATCCAGGTCTCCCACATGAATGGCAGCCCCCAAGTTTCTAGTCCACCTTCCATTGCTTTTCCAGGCACATTAGCAGCAGGCTGTATCAGAAGTGGAATCCTGGAACGTGAACCATCACTTGTGTGGGATGCTGGCACGGGAAGTAGCTGCTTAGCTGGATGTGCCATAACCCATTCTGCCTTGCTCTGTCCATGCTGAAGCTGTGAACCCTCCCTTTGCTGCCCTCTTAGGTCAATCTGTGGGTCATCCTTGTAAGGGAGAGTCCAGCTGTAAACCACGATCCAACTCCAATTGCTAGTACATTTCTTAGAATATCTTACTTGTTTGTATTTACTGTATGTATTCTTAGACAGCCAAATAGGTAAGTAGATCTGTCTCTTGAGAGCAAATGCTTTTATATTAAATGATACATTCACATGTTTTGCCTGAGTGTAAGTTTTTTGAGAACAAAGACCATGTCTCATCTTTCTACTGCCTTGTCTTTCTTGGCATAGGCTCTGTGCTTGAATTATGAATCCACATGACCAGATTTGGTTACCAACAGCTTTCTCTGCCCATGCTCTTGCTCTCTGCCGGGATCCATGAGCTGTTAATGAGACTTGTTTTTAGAAGTATGTTAGTAAAGAAAGCTGCCGATGAAATGTGAGATCCTTTACGCTCATACTGTTAGTTGACTTGAAGTGACTGACAGGCAGCTTGCTTTATTCACAGACGCTATTCTGTTCAAGTCCAACTGTCACTTAGATATGAGCTCCTGCTATTTTATAGGCAAGTGTGTTACTATAGTTTCAGTGCACTTAAAGGTGAGTATTTCTGTCAGTAGAATGGGTCCCGATTTGCATGATGACGTGAGTCCATGTTTGTTAATTGCAGAGCATCGTGACATTTGACTCTGCCCATGGCTGCTCACCTTGTAATCCTTAAGAATTGTTGCATTCCAGCCTGGGATGGCACGAGGGGGAACCTGAGCTGACTTGTAGCTCCCGTTGAGTTCCTGGCCATTGAAGATTTTCGTGGAGTGAATCTGCTCTCCTCAGATGGGAGCTGTGTGTGACTCTATCCCTCTGTTCTCTCAAATTAAAAAAATAAATCAGATAAGCTCAAGTTCTCCTTTCATCAGAATTCAAGATCTCACCTTTGACACCTGGAGCTGACTGTGTCCTCACATAGAGCTGTGAGGATGTGACGCGGCACGTAGCAGCTTCTGTTCTCCGAGCACTCCAGAACTGGCACGGTCAGCAGTAAGAATGTCCTCAGGGTTAGGAGCCGATGGTTGTAACTGACTTTCCTGTTTTCTAATAGGAATGATTCCCGCTCACCAGGGAGCATTAGCTACTTGCCTTCATTCTTCACCAAGCTTGAAAACACGTCCCCCATGGTTAAGTCAAAGAAGCAGGAGATTTTTCGTAAGTTGAACTCCTCTGGTGGAGGTGACTCTGACATGGGTAAGTGGGATTTCTTTCATGAACCCCAAATAAAACATGCGTTAATATTATGCTTGTCTTGTAATCCTTGAGCTTGAAGGCTTGTATAGGGCCTCCTTCTAATACATTCGACCCTAAAATTCCTTGTCCAACATCTGCTAGTTGATGAATTGTTCCGAATTAGGGCGTAGGAATTTAGGAACTTGTTTTTTTGAAGGTGACCATTTTCTCCTTGAACAAATGCTGTGTTTAGGAGTCCTACCCTTTCAGGTGGGGCTGGATCAATCCTCCATTTGTTTTGCTTTTTTTTGTTGTTGTTGTAGTTAAACCCTGGGCCATCGCCATATTACATCTTTTTAGATATTTGAATATTCATCCTTTCTTGGTCTTAACCTTTGTAAATGTCTGTTTCACCAGTTCTTTCCCATGTTCTCATTGTGAGTGCACCCTCCTGTCTGAATCGTTCCCTACAAGAAAACATACAGTTTGGGTTTTCAGTAGGCTGCGTGGTACAGAATACTGTGATAATGGCCTACCTTGAATTTATCATTATTAATGCAGCCTACGATTTGTGGTGGTTGTTTTTTGTTGGGACAATGATGATTCTGTGCCCATGGCATGAACACACACTTACGGGTCAAGAATTGCTCTTAATCTATAACACTTCCTCCTTGCTCTGCTTCTGTGATGGCCATCTCCCAAGGGTAGGACAGGCTGCACTTCCTTCCAACGACTTTTGTACCCTGCCAGTATCTGCCCAGATACAAACTCAGCCATTCAGTAGTCATATACACATGCAGCCTCTGCAGCCTCTGATAAACTCCCCACCTAAAATTCTAACATCAGGATATCCCACACTATAGGGCCCTGCTTCCACTTAGAGTAGCTGCTTGCTAGTACACACCCTCTGAAGCAGCACACTGCATCTCTGCTCCCCACAAGGGAGACCTTGTTTGAGTCCCTAGCTTCCAGTCCTGGCTACTGTAGGCATCTGGGAGTGAACCCAGTGCTTGGGAGACAGCGCCCCCCCTTCCTTTCCACCTGCCTCACTCTAGCTCTATGTCTGCCCCTCAAAATAAATTAAAATGTAAAAGGTTAACACTGTGTGCCTAGACAGTGTTCTAAATTCACCCTGCCGACTATACTACGTATTACTATTACATCTGCTTTGTCGATGAGGAACTGAGACGAGGGTGTAATAGTTGGCCCAGGTTATAGAGCTCGTCCATAAAGGGGCGACTGTCCAAGCCTGCGACTTCTGACTTCAGAGTCCATGTTTCATTGGCTTCTAATAGTTCTGAACTTGCCAAACTGGCAGAAAGCTCTAGAGCAGAACCCTTCCTTAGGCTGATGTGCCTGCATTCATCACAGGCCCACCTTACTGTCCCCCCCACCCCCTTTTGTCCTGGCCTGCATTGTCTCCAGTAATGAAGACTGGGGACACTGCCATCTGCTAGTTCTCTAATCTGCTTACCATCTACTGCTGTTTGTCAGATGGTGGGCTGGGAACTAGGGACTGCCGGGTGGGAGTGCTGCTTGTGATGAGTTCAGGAAAGGACGAGCCCAGGGTCAGTCGGCCCGGCTCTTAACTGCCAAATCCCTTTTTCATGTGACAGCAGATCTGGAAGATAAATACTTTAGACTGCCAACCAGAATTGCTGTCAGATCTGCAGAAGTCCTTTACAAAATTATCATTGGTTTTCTCGCCCCAACCCACAACCATTTCATCTATTATTTACAGCTGTTCAAATCAGGAGTAAAAAGGGTGCTGTCATTCTCACATTCTCTTACAACCCGGAGATGAGTCTGCCGCAGCATGGAAACATACTGGTCTTAGGTGGCCACGCCTTGGTCTGGCCTGCCCTGCCCCTCTCTGGTCTTTGTTGAAACACTTGGACTGTGTATGTGTTGCAATCTGCAGTGTCTACTCTCAGTACGTTTTACGTCGTCTGTAGGCAGTAGCTCGCTTTCTTCAGTTCAACACTCGGTGGAGTGCCGTGTTGGGTGTGTAGTGTAATAGCTGTTGCCTGCTCTGCAGCAATCCGCTAGCCAAGCAGAAGTGCAGTGAGCATCTGAAGCAAGCACCAGTACAAGGGCTTCGGTGCCTGGAATTGTTGCTGTTTTTGGCAGGAAGTTGATATTACAAAACCGACAGGCTCCTGGGTCCCACCCCTGCCTCCGGACATTCAGTATGCAGCAGAACTCAGAAAATAAAGCCACCAGCAGCTCTGCTTTCCCTCTGTGCTCCCCTGGGGCCACCACTGAGGGGCTTCTGCAAAAACCACAGTGCTTTAAGATGCTATTTGGTCTCTTCCACACTTCTGACCTTTTCCCCAAAATGCTCTTTTCTGGGTTCCCACGCACCTCTCTGCTCCTCTGGCCATCTCTATCTTCTTAAAAGCCCAGCGTCACTCTGAGCGGCCCGAGGTTGCTGCCGCCTCACTCCCTCTGCGATCACTTTTATGCCAGGACTCCCAAATCTATGTGGATCTGACCTTTCTCCACCGGGGTCTCCTTAGTGTGCGCTCAGACTGCACCTGTTCACGGGCAAGCAGGAAACTGAACTCACAGGCTCTTCTGTGTTCCGGCCCCAGGCTCTGTAGGCAGCGATGAGGCCGTTTTATTTACTGTGTTCCCCGACATCCTCTATACAACTTTATGGAGAAGATTCTCTTCCTCCTGGCTGGGTGGGGGACGTCCGGCCCACAGCCTACGTAGGGCTTCCAAGATCACTTGGCTGGCCTGGCCAGGAACTGCAGGCAGGACTGCTTTTCTGGCGGGCTAAGTCCTGCATGGAACACACTGGCCTGTGAGTCTCATCAATACCCAGATGGCCTCGGGCGCAGAAGAGCTTTCCAGTCGGGGGTTAAGGCTCCCCGATGGAGAGTCCCCCTGGCACACACACTGTCTTTGCAGATGGTCATCGCCCACACACCAGAGCCTCTGCTTGTGCATGTCCCATTCTTTGAGGTGTCATTTGTGTAGCCACCATTCAATTCCTGCACTTTCCTTTAAAATTCTCAGCATCTAATTGAAAGAAATCATGGAAAGCATTTATGTTTCCAAATTGCTTTCCCTTCTGGCACAGTGCTTTCTGGTTGCTGGTTCTGCTGTCATTTCGCGCTGCGCAAGCGAGGAACGAGACGCCGCGTGGCACAGAGGCGGTCCTTGGTTACGGCCCCAGCTGGCCAGGGCAGCAGCGCATTGAGGCGGCTTCTGGAATGTGTACCAGACTGCCGCAGACCTGATGGCCCTTTTCAAGTCCAAGGTTCTTTCTTGGCTGTGGAGCCTGGATTCCTGCTCGGAGAATGGCTTTTCCCCGATTCTCTGTAGCAGTGCAGCTTCCCTTCTGGGGTTGCAGTGCTGCTGTTTTGATTATCTTGCCTTAATTTGATTTTTTATTTCCTTTAAAAAAAGTAGTTATCCTCAATTTAATTGGTAAAATAAGCTGAGCTCATTGGCAATTAGAGGTCAATTTTATTGTCGGATTTTTAAAACCTTTGATGTACTGGATTATCACATCTCAAATTAACTTCAATATTTGTTTCAATATAGCAGCAGCTCAGCCAGGAACAGAGATCTTTAATCTGCCAGCAGTTACAACATCAGGTAAGAATGAAAATATATCATCAATGCTATAGTGGGAAAGTAACAGTCCATTCAGTAACTGATATTGAGACCAGCAGGACTGCTCCTATATGTAAAGTAATAGTTTAGTCCGAGAAGAGATCGTGAAAAAGGGAACTAAGATTCAACAAGTACTTAACCGAAGAGAGAATCAGAAACTATTGAACCAGGCATTGGTGTTGTGGCATTGCGGGCTAAGCTGCTACTTCTATAGTAGCTATCCGCTGTTGGAGCACGGGTTCAGGTCCCGGCTGCTCCCTGCTAATGCACCTGGGGGTGGGGCGGGGACAACCAAAAGCGGTGGAAGAATTTGGACCCTTCCAGCTGCAGTGAAAGTCCAGGCTTTTGGCTTCCACCTGGCCCAACCCTGACCTTTTCAGCCATTTGAAGAGTGAACCAGCAGATGGAATATTGCTCACTCTTTTGCCTTTCAGTTTTAAAAAAAATCTTAAAAAAATCTGAACCAGTTAACTGAGTGACTTTAGCAAGAGTGTGGGTGGCTGAATGACTTGGGAAACGCATTTCCCAACACTGTCCTTTGTGTGTGGAAGGGACCTGTGTGGACTCTGGGCTTGGGGGGCTGTGTGGCCTGTCACTTCTCCATCTTGGGTCTGCCTCCGAGCCGGGCAGAAATGATGCCGGTGCCCTCCTGCAGGCTCCGTCAGCTCCCGCGGGCATTCCTACGCTGACCCTGCCAGTAACCTCGGTCTGGAAGACATCATCAGGAAGGCTCTCATGGGAAGCTTCGATGACAAAGTGGAGGATCACGGGGTGGTCATGTCCCAGGCTGTGGGGGTAGTGCCTGGCGCCGCCACGTCAGTTGTGACCAGCAGTGAGGCCCGGCGAGAGGAAGGGGACCCGTCACCTCACTCAGGTAGTGTTGCCCCTCTGGAAGAAGCCAGCTCAGCCCACGTCCTGACAACAGGCAGTGTCTCCTCTTGATTGATTCTAGGCCTTGCCCACACACCCGCTGCAATTACGACTTCATATTTCTGGTTTTCAGTAAAAGTGACTTACTGTTGTGGTAAAAATGACAGTTTCAGTATAAAAGGACTGGCTGACACCACAGAAAAGGCCACAGGACAGCCCAGTCCTTCCGGCGCCGACCTCCGGGCAGCAGCCGCTCCTGTAGCACGGAGCAGCACCCCTGCAGACAAAGACAGGCATCAGATCATTCTGCACGGTGTTACCAAAAATCACCATGATGCTAGCTTTCAGCATAAGTTTATGAGCAACAAGTTTCTTAATCTTTGAGAATCAGCATCTCTTATACTTAAAATAGAATCCGAAGGTCTGCATCTCTCGGCTCGCTTTCCTCAAGCAAAGGGCCCTCCGTGCCCCAGGAAGAAATGCAGGTTAGCTCTCCCTGGAAGATGACATCAGGATTTCCTGTTCTGTAAGCGAGCATCGTCCTGTCCTTTCCGCCCCTGCCCTCCGGCTCATGTTTGTTGGAAATACGCACTTAGAGTTCCAAGGCCAGGGAGGTTACAGCTCGGCTCGTGACCTGGGCGCTCACCCCTGCTGATGCGTTGAGGTCTGAGCTGTCCCGCTGCTGTGAGAGACCCCAGGGGCCTGTGCATCCCGGGAGTTCTGACCCAGCCTTTCCCTCGATGTACCGTGTGGGAACACCTGTTGGCTGCCCTCTGTGCTGGGGCCGCGGGGCTCCGGGTAGTGAAGGTCTAAGGTTTCTGTCGGTGAACCTGCTTTAATTCTTCACCACTGTTTAGAAAATTGCGTTTCTTCAGTTACCACATATTTTATGTTTATGACATAAGGACATATCTTTTATTCTAGTCACTGTAGGTAAAATTCTTTCTTTTAAATAGTATTTATCTTACTAGCTACTAAAATCTAGCTTCTTCATGCTACTATTATTTTTATTCATGTAGTATATAGAGACCAAATACTGTATGTCAATAATTAATCCTGTCACTTGAACAGGCGTCTGCAAACCAAAGCTGATCAGCAAGTCAAACAGCAGGAAATCTAAATCTCCCATCCCTGGGCAAGCCTACCTGGGGGGCGAGCGGCCCTCGTCCGTGTCCTCGGTCCACTCGGAAGGGGATTACCACAGGCAGACGCCGGGCTGGGCCTGGGAGGACAGGCCCTCTTCAACAGGTGAGCCGCCCCATCCCGCCCCGCACAGCACAGGTGCCTGAGGCCCGGAGCGGTTTATAGTAATGCCATGTTTACTACTGCTTTGAAAATCAGAAACATTTATGGTTTGAAAAACTATACTTCCATGACTTTAAAATTAAAGGATTCTACCTCTGAGAATGGAATTTGAATGCACATAACCTTAGAAGTACCATTAGCATCAGCAAAGATCTACAAAGAGCTGGCACCCACTCTCCTATGTTGGCTGGTTGGTAGCCAACGTTGCCATTTGCAAGTCTGTGGTTTCAGTTCTTGAACTGTACTCGGGTGCCACTACTGAGGTCACCGCGCCTTCCACATAGATACTCGGAGAAGATTCTCAGGGAGCCTTGAAGAGTTCCTGGTGTAACCGATTTTAGTTCAATTAACACTTCATTCTTCACTTGGGTTTTTCATAGAAACACTTGGCACAGGCTTATGCTGACCGTGCAGCTGCTGGCTGGGTTACAGTCCAGCGGACACTGTGGGCACCGTTGCCCCCGTCACACACGGGCTGCGTCGTGGCTAGAGGGCGGAGACCTGGGCTTCTCCATTGCTATCCGATTTGCTTTTGTAGTGTCACGTGACTACAGGTCCTGTCCTCCAACCAGAGTCAGACTGGGTGAAACGGCAAGTAAGCTCCCACTTTTTCTTTTGTCAGGTTCGACGCAGTTCCCGTATAACCCTCTGACGCTGCGGATGCTAAGCAGCACCCCACCCACTCCGATCGCATGCGCCCCCTCGGCCGTGAGCCAGGCAGCTCCTCACCAACAGAACAGGATCTGGGAGCGAGAGCCCGCCCCGCTGCTCTCGGCGCAGTACGAGACGCTGTCGGACAGCGACGAGTGAGCGGACGTGAGGCTGGACGGGGGAAGGGAGGAGCCCGGCTCCGGGTTCGTGTTAGTAAGTGCAGGTCGGAACCTGCCCTCCTATGATTTGTGCCCAGAGACTTTTCAGGAGAGCCAGGGCCACGGATGATGGAGAAATGATAAAAATTTGTTTGGAGAGTCAATAGGAGAAAACAAAAACCGCCTTTGATATGGTCAGTTGAGTGGATTATAATTGTAGAGGGGTGAATTGTAGAGTTTTTAAAAAGTGGACAATTCCTGTTTGTAAAGAAAACCATAATGTCTTTAAATCACTCTTATTGTAAATAGAGGACCTTTTTGCAGTGTAGCCCCTTGCTGTAGATCTGGTGTACTTATGTTCAAAGCAGCGCATCAACTCGGGGGGGTAATTTTTGAAAAATTTTTTTGTCTATCTTTTTAACCCTAGCCTTCTAAAAAAAAAAAAACCTCACACAGCCCAGATCATAATGTCGGCTGTCACGGGCATTGTACTTGATCTGATTTTGTTTTCTTTAAATTCAGCTTCCCAGTGATGTTTCAAATCTTGTGGAAATGTTTAGGTTTTTAACAGACCCTGTCCTAGTCTGTGCATTAGGGTCAAAGGTAGGAACAATGGACTTCTGCCGTAATGTAAATTTCCAGTGCAAGCTTTAATTTTTCCTTCATTAGTAGCACTGAAAAAAAATGACTGCATGGGTATGTTATAGTTGAGTTTTTAAAGTTTTAAAGGCTTATTTGAGGCATACCTCACTGTTATGCACACTGGTAACTTAACCATGCCCCTAAGGTATTCCTTTTCTCCTGCATTTGATGCAGCCCAACAAGGCTTCTGTTTTGAAATAAATCTGACCGGCTTGTCCATAGCTACAGCACATCATCTGTGACTCAAGGCTCTTGGGGTCTCAGGTTCCAAAGGAGAAACCTACATGCTTTTAGTTTGGTATTCATGATCGATAGAGTGTGTCCATCTTTCATGCTGGATCCTGAAGAATTCTCACAAAGAACCTGGTCCTTTCTTTGCATCTCTGTGCCTGCCAGAGCTTGTTCTAATTTTGCTTCCTTAGGGCCACAGTATTGTTGAATGTTCTCATTTCATAAAATCTTAAGGTGCAAATAACTTAAAAGAATGAATTACAATCTAAGTATGGCACTACAGGGTCAGTTTTATGCCTCAGTAAGAACTCACTGAATTCCTAGATTTTTGGGTTAAACATGTAATTTGATCATAACACATGAGCATCCTTCCACAGCATATACCTGCTGATGTTCTGGGGAAATGCCACTGATGACTGGACAGGGCAGAGATTACAGGTGTTTGAGGATGACTCAAGTTAGCACTTTATAAAGACCTGGCCTTTTCAATGAAAGCTCAAGACTGAGGTTTCTAATACTTTGCTCAAAGTTAAGTGACAAGGATCCGCCACAAGCCCATGTCTACCTGGAGAGAAAGCCTCCAGCCCCGTGAGAATGCTTCAGATCAGGCGTCACGGTCAGAGTTCCTTTATCTGAAAGGCTGGCATCTTTATAATACTATTTATACACATGCAGTTTCTGTAAGAACAAAAAAGTAAAAATTCCTCTCAACAGCTTTCAGCTGGAAGGTCTTTTTTCCCCCCAGGTACTGGTAGTTATTTTAGAATTATGACTATGTTTAACTGTGACCCGAGGGTACTGTGCTCTCCAGTCAGGATGGTTTCCAGAACAGACAGATCCTACCTTGTTCTCGGAGCTCCCTGGACTGCGGCTCCGGGGCAGGTGTCCCTGCTGCAGGCCTGCGCCGAGGGGGCCGCCACTCGCACATCAACACTGACTCTTTGCCGGCCCAGGTTTCACTGCTCTGATGCTACAGCTTTAGGACTTTAACACCCAGAACAGAATTCATGTCTTCCTGAAACTGCTAAAATAAGCATTCTGACAGCCAGTTTCCCAGTGCGTGCTTATGATTGGAAATTTTGTAATGTTTTAATTTGGGTATACTCAGTGATTTTAAAAAATTCTTTATTCCCTGAAAACGCCAGTGATAACACAGTTCCAAATTTTAAAATGCACTGTTGTAAGGAGTTCAGCCCAACCAGCAAAGGGAATCAGTTCCCCTTTGAGTCACTGGACAACAGTGTGAATGAACCGTACGGGAGACAGGCAGGAGACCAAGCTGCCGTTCTGAAAACCACTTGAATTTCCAAGGAGTGGGACCATGACTGAATCATTGTGGAGGATTGCATTTCCTTAAATAAAACTTGGACTGAAAAACCTAACTTGGACTACCCCTTGCAGTGAGCGGGCAGAAGGTGAGTGGCTGGCACCAGCTGTTGTCTGATTTTTTTCCTCTGCTCTCAGACCTGATTAAAGGAATATAACAGATAACTTCGATACAAAGGGGGAAGAAACTTTACCTGTAAAATGTACAAGTTTAGTTTTAGGAGTTTTATATTTTCATCAACTCTTCTGGAAGAATTTTTTTAATGAGAAATTCAAAGATTACTGGACTACATGCACTACATGTTGAATAATTTCTAGTTTATTAAGAAAAGATTATTTCAGTATGTACATATGAACCAAAAATATCACTATTGGTCCCAGTCCCTCCCTCTGCCCACAGGAAAGCCAGCATCAGTGTTTCCTCGTGGGATCCACAAACCCTTTCTCCAGCCCTTGCAGTGTGCCAGCCGCTGCCCTACAGCACGCGCACCGAGGGCCCCGAGGAGGGGACACCTTTGCCGACACGGCAGTCTCTTCCTGTGAGACAGATGCAGCCAGGGGTCCTACAGCACCCGGCGCCAACTCACCCCCATCGGGGACGGCCACTGCACAGCCATGCCGAGGAGAGCGGGGCCCGCCCGGCACTGCTCGTCTCTACCTCATTTCACAATAGTTGCATATAATGAGCTGTGTACGGTCCACTGCTGTTTGATTAAACGGCGCTCTACTTACAAAGGCCTAATTCCACATGTGATTCTGGCAGCACTGCAAGCCAACACTTCGCCTTCGTGCACTCAATCCCACAGTGTGCTCCATGAGACGGAGAAGAAAAACAACTCACCATTGTCCCCCTCTGCCATGACACAGGTAGCTGGTCTGCCACAACGATAAAGTGAGGAGGGCGGGCACGAGTGGGTGCAGTGATGCCAGGCTGGGCGCACACCTGCACAACAGTGACCTGTCAATCTGATCCAGCGTCAGGGGCAGCAAAGCAGCACCTAGCCACAGGATGGCATCTGTCCTCAGAGCGGCCATTGCCAGCTGCAGGGCAAAGTCGTGGCAGTGAATGCACACCTCGTCCTGGGGTACTGGGGATCTCTCCTCCTCCAACGCAGACTTAGAGCTTAATAAAATTAAGCCAAAGGACTGCTTTTTCTTGCCAGCCCAGCCAGTTCTTCCCGGATGTGTTGTATAGAGACCTCGTCTTTTTTCAGTTCTGCTTGCTTCAGCGCTTCCTGGTAGATTTCTTTTGCTTGTGTATATCGTTCTAAAACAGCCCAGAGAGAAGGAACAGTAAGAAAATGCACGTCACAGCATTCCTGAAGGAAAGACCCAGGTGACTTCCGGTGTGCTTCACTTCCTCCCTGGGGGACACGCCTGGCGTGTGCTGCACCCCGCGAGCAGCAGGCGGCAGGTGGGCGGCCACCAGGGGCTGCCGCTCGGCTTCCTGCCAGCCCCATGGGACTCCAGAAGTGAGCAGAACAGCAACCACTGCTCAGCCTAACCTTTCTTCTATCCTTCCTCCCCTTCTTTGAGTTTCCTCATTGCCCAGCAGCATCCCTCTGCCCATGCCCACGATGCCCACCTCTGTGCATCAGAACCGCAGCTAGGTTGCTGAGCACCATGTGCAGCTCTGGGTGATCCACCTCTCTGGCCAGCTCCGATGCCCTCTGCATGTACGCGTGCGCCTCGTCAAAGCGGCCCTGGGCGTCCAGCGCGGTGGCCAGGTCGCTCATGAGCACAACCGTCTGCAAGCAAACAGGAGACGAGCCCTGCGTGCGGGTGCCCGATGCTCTGCCGGCATTCCAAACGAGCAACACGAGCCTGTCAATCGCAGTCGCTACAGTCACACCGACTCGGGCTTGCCTCCATATTCCTCACTAAAGACCCTTTGGAGTAAGGCCCAATTTCCTTTCTGGTTAAAGATAATCCACAAACCAAATTCTCTTTCCATCTAAAACATGATCACCTTACATACCTGCCCAGCTCAGTCCAAGTTTTGCTATTTTGGGGCCAGTGCAATGGCTTAGTAGGCTAAGCCTCTGCCTATGATGCCAGCATCCCGTATGGGTGCCAATCCATGTCCTGGCTGGTCCACTTCCAACCAGGCTCTCTATGCCCGGGAAAAGTAGTGGAGGATGGCTCAAATTCTTGGGCTCCTATACCCATGTGGGAGACCCTGAGGAAAATCCTGGTTCCTGGTTTCGGCTATTGTGCCATTTGGAGGGAATGAACCTGCAAATGAAAAATCAATCTCTGACTCCTTAAAATAAATCGGACTGGGGGAGGTTTTGCTTTTGGGCCCGTTGCAGTAGCTTAGCAGCTATAGACCTCAACTTGCATGCTCCAGAATCCCACATGGGTGCCGGTTCTAATTCCAGCAGCCCCGTTTCCCATCCAGCTCCCTGCTTGTGGCCCGGGAAAGCAGTTGAGGACGGCCCAAAGCCTTGGGATTGGGACCCTGCACCCATGTGGGAGACCCGGAAGAGACTCCTGGCTCTGAGTCAGCTCCAGCTGTTGTGGCTACTTGGGGAATGAATCAGTGGACTGAAGATCTCCCTCTCTGTCTCTCCTCTTTATATATCTGACTTTCCAATAAAAATAAAATCTTTAAAATCTGTTGTGCTTTTGTATCCTGCGGGATCCACTACTCACCCTTAAAGACATGCTTTCAGTGAGGAGACACGTGTTTCTAATTTATCGCCACCACCATCACTCCCTGCCATCTTAACTGGGGCTGAGGCGGCAAGGGTATCCTATTGGAGCCTGGTCCTCACAGAGCTCCCAGGGGAATCTCCTGCCCCGCTCCGTACTGCCGAGCTGCACGCTATGGCAGGGAGGCACGGGGGCTCGCGGGAAGCTGGCGGGCTGTCCTGGGCCGGCCCAGCACAGAGCAGCAGTCCCAGGTCCTTTCTGAGCTGCTGGGGTTTGTGTAAGAACACGAGTGCCCTGGGGCTCAAGGAGGCGCATCTGAGGACCACCCAGTGCTCTCTGCTGTCCGCTGGGACGACGCTCGGGGTCTCCTGGGCTTTCCTCACGCAGCCCCCTCACCTGTGGATGTCTTTCTCCTTGTATTTCCTCGGAAATCTGTAGCGCCTTCTCGTACATCACCTGTGCCTGGGAGGGCTGCTTGGAGTGCAGCAGGTAGCGGGCACAGGCGTCCAAGCACATGCCCAGCAGCAGGTGGGTGTTGGCCTTCTCCTCCCCTGCCAAGGAAAGAGCAACCAGGGGGTCACCAGGACTTGGGGGGCAGGACAGACTCCCGGCACCTCAGTCACCTAAAGATCTCTCAGATCCATCCAAGTGACCTTCAGCAGCAGGAGCCACGGAACCTCGTATGCTGTGAGCAGATGAACAGCCCTGGCGGCAGTTACGCGGATGTTTTTAGTTGAGACTCACAGTGGCCAGCAGCAGCAGACAATGATAAACCCTATGAGTGAACAAAAAGCTGATGAAAAATCTTGAAGATGTGGCTCAAAAAGACAGTGGGGAAACAACACTCAGAATCCTAAAATGCAGACTCAGACATCAAATTTAAACAACACATGTATTTTTCTTTGGGAAACAATGAAGACTAGAGGGATTCTGCACCTGTTAAAACATGTTACTGAATCAGCGACACAACGTCTGAGCCACACCCGGGCAACACAGAGGGTTAGGAAGTGCAGGTCTGGGGGAACACGAACCGATATGAACCTGCACAAGGAACAGCTTCCTGGAGGAGATCTGGATCTCAGTAAGGCCGGACAAAGGCTTCTGCAGACAGCGCTCAGCAGCCCTCCCGCCAGGGGGCGTCCCGCAGTCCCCAGACTGTCCATGTACGCAGGAATATCCATGGCATACACAATCTTTGAAAGGACTGTGTCTAAACAATTGAGATTTAAAAAAATCTCTTAACGTGAAATTAAGATTAGTCTAAAACCTTACAGACTTGTTTTCAGAG